TAAATATTTTAGTAATAACATTTTAATAGAATATTACTCTTCATATTATTACAATTTTCAACAATTTATTTTTAACAAATTATTTTGAAATTTTCAACAATTTATTATAATTATTCAATTAATTAATATTCTTATCAGATAAATATATACATATATTTCAAATTTAATTAAGCTTAACGTATAATAAGTGAAATAAAATTTTTAATTAATTAATGCAATTGATTTTAATTGAAATATTCTATAATAATTATTTTATTTAAATATTATTTTAATTTTAATAATTTTATTTACTACAATGTAAAGTTTGAAAAAAAAATAACCAAAAATTTGAATCATGTTCTGAATCATATTCTTTTTTTACAGAACATTTAAAATAATAAAGAAGGCAGCATATTATTAATTTATTCGTTTTTCAATCATTGTTATTTGATTATAACAATGATTATACACATAAAAAAAAATGAATTTAAAATTTATCCAATAGTGGTTCTTAACCTCTAAATCGCGACTTATAATTGGATCACAAAATATTTAAAGAGATCGTTATCGTTTTTAATGAAATTTAACTTTTTATTTATTTTTGTATAATTAGTAATAATTATCTATTATTTTATATAATTCAATAATTTTTTATAATTCGATATTAGAATTATTAGAGTGCTTTTCTTCTTATATAACTTAAAAACACATTGTTTTGTTTCGCAATTTTTTATTTTTTTTATATAGAATAATAGAGTGTTTCAAATTATTTAAACATTGCAAGAAAAGGATCGTAATTTAAAGAAAGTTGCAAAACATTGCTACAAAGTGTGAGAATTAGATAAATCATTTTCTTATAGCTCGATAAAGCATTCAAGTTGGGAAAGGAATTGCATACGGTTTACGAAATATGCCAATCGGTTCTTCTTGTTTTGGACCATTAATTCACTAAGTTTTTTTTTATTTATAATTTAATGTATTTAGAGATTCATTTTACAATTATCTAAATAATGTTAACAATTGTAAGTAAAAAATTGTAAAAAAATTATCTACATAATTGACGACATTTTGAAAATATTCAAAATAATTAATATTTTTAATATATTATTATTATTAAAAAAATACCTTTACAAAATTCTCAATTAACATTTATTGTTTATTTATAAATTGAATAATTATATAAAAATAGTTATTGTTAAATATTAATTATTGTTAATATAAATAGTTACCCTATTTTCCAATATATTAACCCTATTTTTTAATTATAATTATATTATGCATATAATATAAATACTTTAAAATTATTTTATATAAATAATTTTATTTATATTTTTTTTATAATCGTTTAAATTAAATGTAACAAATTATTCTATGTAATTATTTTCAAAAAAATTGAACGAGATGATTATATTGCAAAATACAAAATACTTACGAAATTATTTTTGAAAGAAGGTCATGAAATATTCAAAAGAGTTGTTGAAAAAGCTTAGCGAGTTTTAATCAAATTAATGAAAGCCAGAAATCTTTTTCTATAAACTTCTCAAGGATTGAAAAAGTTTTAGTTGAGATCCTTTTCTGTTGAATCGATTTCGTACGCAATTTAGGGAGTGAAAGGTTGGAATTGATCAGAAGAGAATTTAAAGTTATTTGAGAAAGCAATCAAATTGCGAAATAAAACTTTTTTTCAGTATTTCATAGTACTTCTTGATTACTAATTTCTCAAAAGTAAAATTTTAATTAAATTCATCAAAGTAAGAGTAAAAAAAAAAAATAAAAGTATTCGTCAGAAATCTAAAAAAAAAAAAAAAAAAAAAAAAAAAAAAATAATAATAATAATAATAATGAAAGATACTTCAAGGAATAAAATACAATAGATGTTCTATAATATATATGATTAAACTAAATTAAACAAATTTATTTGATTAAAAAAAAAATTCATTAGAAATTATGAATGAAGTTCTTTCTTGAATCAATAATTTGCTTTACATTTTGATTATTAACTTTTCAGAAATAAAAAAAATTTTCTTAAAGAACGTAAGATAAAAAAATTTACAAAGAAATCTTAAAAAGAAATAAAATAAAATATAACAAACTTTGAAAGATTTAAAAGATTTAAAACAATAGGTTATTCTTCTCTACTAATATCTCTACTAATAATAGAATTAAATAGAATTAAATTTCTTGACATAAAGAAATTTAATTCATTAAGAAACAGAAGATCAAGAATAGAAAAGAATAAACAAAAGAATGACAAAATAATGAATATTGATACATGCAGTGATCGAGATGGAGGAAGAAGAGATGAGATCCAGCGGATGGATAAGATTATGCTGTCGAGGTGGAAACACTCCACCGCCGGACCGACCTGCCGAGTGAGTAATGATCATGGAACAATCGCCCGCATTTAGATCATTACCAGCATCGACGGTCGATCCTTCTCGCAACATCATACTAGTAGGTAAAAATGCACAGAAGCATGTGCTGTTGCATTTCTTCTTGGCAATCTCAACTCCTATCCCAATGACCAAATGAAATTCAATGTATTCCAATGACTTTTGCTTTGGATTATTTCATTGGTTGAAGTTAAGTTCTTCCTTCAATTCAATTTTTTATTTTTAAGTTCAGTTTTCTTAAAAGATATTTTTTGTAAAGATATAATAGATTTGATATCTTTAGAAATCTCCATAAGTCTTGTTGACTCTCTCTGGTTTTCTCTAGCTCTTCCTAGTTTTTTATCTTTTTTTATCTCTTTATTGAGTTTTTTGAGTTTGTAGTAAATTTTTCTCAATCTTCTCTTAATTGAATTATTTTAAAATTGATTTGTTTTGTATTTTTAGTTTTTGAATTTCTTGCAACTGTTCCTATTAAAATTTCTTTAAATTCTTTTTGATTACTTGAAATTTCTAAAATATAGATTTTACCTATATTTTGTTTTGTTTTTTAAGAGTTTTTCTATATTTTATTCATTGATGTCACAAAATGTCTTAAAATTTCTTTTGCATAAAACTCTTCTCTTGTATGATTTTCAATAATTTTTGTTTCTTTAAAGCTTTATAACTTTTTAACATTATTTTTATAATGCATTATTTATTGCATGCATAGAGTTTACATATTTATTAATGCTTCATATATATTGTTAGTTATTTGCATGATAAAATTTAAAATTTCTTCAAATTCTCAATTTTTATAAATCAATTTTTTTTTGAATTTTATTTTTATATTTATTATAACAAAAAATTTTTCTTGTTATGAATAAATTTCTTTTAAAAATTTTTCATGCATCAAAATAATAAATATATTGTTTTATTTAGTAAATATTAAAAAAAAATTTAAAGATACCTATGACAATAATAAAATTTTTTAATTAAATATAATCAGTAATATATGACTTTTGATTTATTTTTTAAGTTTTTTTTTCAAAATTTAAATATTTATTTGTTTATTTCTCAGAGATAAATCTCCAAAAAAATTTTGTTTTTCAATCTATGTTCCATGGTGAAAAGAATACTCTTATTAGAAATTTATCTTCCTTGGAAACCATCATCATTTCTGGTTTCAGAACAGCTGTTTGACCGGAGCCTTTTTGGACTCCTCAATCTTGGACAGAAGTTTCTAAATTCTTCTCAGATCATGAAGATGGGTTATGAATTTTTTTTAGATAATGAAGATATTTGATCAGCTTGAAGTTGTTTAAAAACTCAAAAATTGAATTTCAATTGGTGATTTGATTACAATGATGGATGATAATAATAATTATCCATTGTAGAATTTGAATTATTTGAAATTTTAAATGTTCTCATAAATTTCTTTTGATTGATAATCATGGAATTTTTTAAAAATAAAATTATGTAAAATATATTAACATGATAAGATGTTAATTGATAATTTATTAAAATATTTGTATGGATCTTCTGAAATAATGAAACAATCAATGGAAATGTAGAATTTAAATTCTTTCTATTGAAATATTGAAGAGATAAATTAATATAGGATAAAATTGTGGTGAATGAAATCATTGATCATAATTATTGAAAGTTAATGAATCCTGTGAATATATATTTTGTTCATTTTTTTCTTAATAAGAATTATTTAAAGTGAATAATGTAACATAGAAATTAAATATATATTTTAAAAAATTATTAAAAATCCATAAAATCCATAGAACTAATTTTTTAAGTAATAATAATTTATTACTTATATTATGTATTAGAAGAACAATTTATAAAAACAAAGTTCAACTGAGATTCAATTAATTTTTTTATATCTTTATTTAAAATAAAAAATACCAATATTTATAATTTTAATTTAATATATATATATACACTATTTGTACTTTTTAATATATTTATTGTCTATATAATACGTATCAAATTTGCATCTTTTATATTATATATCCGATACAATGGACGATATATTATATACTTTATTATTTTATCAAACATGCCAAACAATGCATCATATTTTGAAAAAAAAAATCAATTTCAATACATATACGTACAAAGAATAATCAGGGAAATAATAATATAAAATTGTGTACATAGAAGTTCAAAAACATGTCTATTCTTTAACATCGTCAAATGTATTGGAAAAAAAAAATCTCTGTAATTTATCATATGTTTACAAGGAAAATATAATTTTTATTGAAAAATCATACTAGAGGCAATCTAATCAAAAAAATAAAAATTGAAAAAATTGAAGTTTTGAAGATATATTTCCTCCAGTGTTTATTACATAAACAATAATAAAAATTGAAGGATCTAAAAATTTGAAGAAATATTGCCTCCAGTATTATTACATTGTTATTTTAAGTGAATGGAAAATTGAATGATTGTTTGAAGAAATAATTTTTATCAAATATTTGTGCAACATTTTCTTTATGAATATAGACTGATTACTGTAAAAAAGAATAATGTTTTTAAGCTTTATCAGAAACCGCAGGGTAATTAATCGTAAGTAATTATGCATCATTATGCTTGTACAACTTTGTAGCTGTGCGTTTTCTAAGATGTAAATAAATTATTGTGACATCTATAATTCTTAATGCATCAATTATTTGAGAGAATATTTTTTTTTTTGATAATTATAATTTTTATAATTTTTGTATTTAATTTCTTTGAAATTTAAATTAAATTATGAAATAAGAAATATTTAGAATTAATATTTTTATAATTAAAAACAATCTTTATTGCCATAATAAATTGTACAAAAACACGCTCTACAAAGTACAAGTTTGTTTCTTTAAAAAATAACATTTATAATTTTTATTTTATTTTATTTTATTTTATTTTTTTTTTAACAAATTTAGATCAACGTGAAACACATTATGTTCTTTATAAATATACATATATTTAAACACATTTATATAAATAGTTTTTAAATACACAAATTAATTCTATTTACATACACATACATATATGTTTATGTGTATATATATATATATAATATATAAAAGAAAATTTGACGGATTAGCAGTTTCGTTTAAAAATTTAAAAGAAAAATGAAAAAAGAAGAAAGTTTTATTAAATAAATAATTGCAGAAATTTAATAAAAGGACGGATTTGGTTTATCTCCTATTGTTTTCTCTAATTTTTATAATTTTATAATTTATATTTTACTATTATTTTCATTAATTTTTCATAATTTAAAAAAAATAATAAAAAATTAAAAATAATTTTATAAAAATAGTGGTTGTAATATAAAAAACTTTTTTCATCAATAAAATAATTCTGTAGATTAATAACTTTATTAATCTCAATCTACAGAAAATTTTATGTTATAAAAACTATCACAGACATGTTTTAAAAGCCCGTGAAACTATTCACTGTGCTTTTGAACGAACATACAAAATTCAGTGTTCAAAATTAATACTGGCGATTTATCTCCTCAAGAGAATTCTTTCAGCAGAAAAATAGAATTCTATGTTTAATTAATAATAGAAAAAATAACAGAAAAATATTTGCTTTCATGAAAATATAAATTTTTAATCTTCAATCTTAATTACTATTATTAAAATTTAAGTAGAAACTATATTAATTTGTCATTGGACGAATTTAAATAATTAGTAAAAGACAGTGTATTCTACAAAGAAATTTAAATTTTTAATATATTATTTAGACAGAGAAATTAAAGAAAATATTTTAGATAAAAAAATATGTGTAAAATATTTTCCAAATTTTCTTATTCCAAAATCCCATAGTGATCTTTAATAAAAATTTTTATCTTATATTATTAATAAATATTGTCTGCTTCGATAATAATAAAAGTTTTCTTAAAAAAATTCTGTGAAACCAAAATTGAGCGCATTTATTGCAAAAAAATCTCTTATAAGAAACTCTGTTAATTTAAGAGATTAGATTATTCCATAAAAAATAGCGCCCAATTTTCGTGAAAAATAGGAATTTCTTCTAAAATATTAAATAAGCATCCTCATATTTTTGTCTTGAAGATTATTCAAATTTAATTTCCTTTTAATTTTGATTATTTAAAATTCATCATGGAAACTTTTTTCTGTATCCACCATTTTGCTTCCTAGGAATAGATCCATTTTGCTCAGAATCTCGGATAAATTCAATTTTCCATCTAAATTGGTATCTGACACGCTGATTAAATGTTGGGCCTCTTGTATAGCGTGCCTTGGATTTCTTGGATCTATATACATCTGAAATAATATAAATAAATTTATAATTATTTAACAATATATTTTAATTAATTATTTTATTTTTAATTTTTATTTCTTTTTTTTTTTTTTAGTCCTGCTTGAGATGGTTAAGTGTACATACCAGAAGCTCTGTCCTATCGGCTTTTCCATTTTTATTCTTGTCGATAAGGTGTCTGAACTCCTTCCGTCTGTCTTCACTTCCTCCTATCATCTCATGTTTGTCTTCTTTTAATTCTAAACCCATCCCTTCTGCAGGTAAATCCGAAAATTCATCTTCTGTCAATTGTTCATCTCCATCGCGATCTAAAATAAAAATAAATATAAAAATTAATTACAAACTTATTATTATTAATATTGCAAGATAAATTATATTAATATCATGAAGAAGAAATTAGAAAAATTAATGCTATCGATGAAATTAATGCTTTATGAAGAAAAAAAAATGAAAAAAAACATAACATTGATATTTATGTAAAAATAATTTTATAAAGAAATAAGTTTCCACACCGAATTTTTCAAATAGATCTTCAACTATTTGTAATAATGCTCTATGACTGCTTTCAGGATGAGTAAAAGCTAAAAACTCATCGAGTGCCAATCTTTCCGGATCATTTCTGGCTGCTTCCGACCATCTGGCTCTGTCTCTCATTATATTCTCTTTCAAAGTTCGTGACATGTCGCTATGCTTCTTATCGTGCGAGCTCACATAGCTCTCAGGAAATCCGTGGGATCTGAGAAAGTACGCGTGATATTCTTCCCACGAGACCTCGCCTGAAATATTAAAATATAATAAGATTTTAAAAATCTCTTTCACATTTTTTATTATTCATTTTATTTGCAATATGAAAAAGTAGTTTTTGTTTTTTTCCTCTTTACTTTTGCTTTTTTAAATTTCTTCTACTAAAGAAATTTTTATCTGTATATTTTTTTATTTTAAAAATATTATTTTACGTTTAGTTTTTTTTTTAATCTTTTCTTTCTTTCAGATAATCATATTCATTATTAAGTTAGAAATACGATATTTATTTAATTTTTTAAAAATCTATCCAAGAATTATTATCAAGAGATTAATTACCATTTCGAGGATTATTATCTATCGCAGTGAATAAGCCAATATTCTCTTTCATAGCTCGGCTTATATGGTCCGTGATCTTTGTATGAATCCATCTGGCCAATTCCTGAATATCCAACAATTGATCATGATCGGTATCAGCTCTTTGAAATATATCTTCGAGTAATATTCTCGAATTTTCTTGATTCTCTTTCATATTCTTTATATTCTGATCTATTTCCTTGTAATGTTCCAAATCTCTTTTGTCGATCGTCATTGCCTCTAATTCTATGAAAAGATTCTCAGTCATAGATTCTTTATCATCTTGTATAGATATGGTGGACGTTAAGCTCTTTAAGGGCACGTTTCTATTGTACTTGAAAAAGAGTAGAGACAAATAGATAACGAAAGGCACAAGGATTGTCCAACGGATAAATCGGAAGCATCGCAAATCTGGCTTACAATTAACTTTGTGTATCTATGAAGAAATGATTAAGAAAAATGAAATTAGATAGAATTTGTGTATTTATAAAATACACAATTAAAATAAGATTGATATTCCTTGTTAAAAGGAATAATTTAAAGTTTATTCTTTTTTTATAAAATATAAAAAATATAAAAAAATATATAAAGTTTATTTCTAGAAAACTAAAATAATAGATAGGTCTTTTTCTTTTTTACTTTTCCTTTTATAAATTTAGAATCTTATAAATTTTAAGAATATTTATGAAAGGAAATGGAAAAAAGAGTTTTAATTCAATATCTATTTCCAAGAAATTAAGTTTTTAAGATTTAAATTTTTATCTTTCATCTTTTTTTTTTCTTAAGTTTAAGAATCTTAGAAATTTTAAAAATTCTTTATCTTTAAAGAAATTTGAAACCAATTCTAATAATCACTGCTAAAAAAGTTCTGAAAAAGCAGAAAAAGAAAAATAGATAAGAAAAGTATCCCAAGTTACTCACAAAATAGGAAAAATACATGACTGTTTAAATTTATAATGCAAAATCACTATAAATCACTATACATCTTCAATTCTCCCAACCTTATATATTTATGTTTTATTCTTAAATCATTATTAATTACATGTTCTGTCTCAGAAGAAGTATTTTTATCAACCATTGCCATCACAAGTAATAAATCTGTCACTTACAGGTCCCTGCACTAAACACTACTCACATCAATGATAATATGAACATTTCAATATACACTGATAGATTGTTTCAACTTATAACAACAATATAACAATTTCACAAATGAACTCAAATCTTGCATGCACTTTGGGAAAAACATTGAACAAGAAATGGAAAAAACTAATGTCAAAATGATAAATAATTTTTAAGTTAAAAAAATTTATGTTAAAAACATTGTAGATATATTTGAACTTCTATTAACTCTTTTATTCTTTGACAAAAAAAGTAAGTTTTGAGGAGAAGTTTAGTTGCACGTTGTATGGCGAAACGTTAACGGCGTATTGATCCACTTTCACTGTCGTATCCTTTCTCTCTATAATCCTCTCTCTTCCTCCTTTACTCTTTGTTCCACTTTTATCTCTATCTCTATCATTGTCTCTCTAATTAAATAGAGATAGTCTCTTGTTTCATAATTAAAATAATTATAATAATTGTTCATTTTGTTTTTGATCAATTGCATTAATTTTTGAGTTTTTCTTTTAAAATTAATATCTTCATTATTTCTGGATGTAAATATAAATTTTATTAAGGAATACTTGTTTTATTCTTTTTACTCCTGAAATGTTGTTTTTAGAAAATTTTGTCTAATTATAACAAATTATAACAAATATCTAGTTTCTTCTTTAAAGATTTGATTATTTTTCCAATTTTGGTATCTTATTTTATCTATTTTTTATTTATTTGTATTATTTTATTTATTTAAAGAATAAAAGAAGAAATCCATTGAATAATGGTATAAAAAATTTATTTATTTAAAGAAACATTATATAAAAGAAAAAATAAAAATGGATTTAATAAATCTATTTAATTCGTATATTTTTCTTCTTATGTACAAATATTTTATCTAGAAACGAAGAAACTTATTGAAAACATATTCATATATATTCTTTCTCTTATTATTAATTAATTATTTAAATATTTTCGCACGAAGAAACGAAGTACAGATCCGCAGTCAAGTGAAAAAATAATTTTTCATCTCCATGATAATAAAAAAAAAAGAAAAAAGAAAAAGAAAAAAGAAGATATAGAAGAAAAGAGGGGAAAAAATATTTCGGAGTTGACAAGGCGTTAAAAAGGAGATTCTTAAACGAATTGTCGATGTTTCGCCGCAAAAGAAACATCTCGGGGCGGAAATTATTTTAAAAAGCTGAAGAAAAATACATAAATTATTATAAAACCGATATGAAATTTTTTTTCTTGGAAATAGAAAAACTGGCATATTAAATTATATTTATGAAATTTAAAAAAAAAAGATAAAATATCAATGAAAAAATTGTACTTTATAAAAATAAATATCTTTTCATTGTCAAAACGAAGAGAAAATGCTTTAATAAAATAAATTTAAAATAAAAGTTAAAATAAAAGTTGTCGTTAAATTTAAATTTAATTTATGAAGACTATAAAAACATTTTTTTCTACATAAATATAAAGATATTTATATATAATTAAAATATATAAAAAAAAATTTAATAATTTTATTTTAAAACCGCCCACGAGAATTTTCTCGTTCAGAAATGGTTGAAATTCGCAAAATATATTAAGTATATAATAGATATAACAACTAGCAATATAAATAAACTATTTTACGCCTTTACAAATCATCTCCTGGCAAGAAGTCTTCTCTGAATATTCATAAATAGTCTCTCTCTAAATTAATAAACTATTTTCATTTTTAACTGTATTTAATTCCTGAATATGCACTGGCTATTTTTGTTGTATTGTTTTATTCCATAAATAATATTTTTTTTTCATGATTAATACTCTAAAAGGTATTTAATTGAGTTTTAAGAAAATAAGGAATCTCTATCAAAGAGATTATTTTGATTTAATTATCTGTGCTTCATTCTGTAACATTTGAATTTCAAAACTTTAAATTTACAATCTGTTTTTATCTATTTTTCAAGATAGAAATATTGTCAAGATAGAAATATTTCTTAATAGTCAATTTTTTTAATTCATCATATTTATAGAATGTTTATCAAAATGAAGCAATTTATAATTGTACTTGAAAAAACTTAAATTTCTAACATGATTAAATTACATATGGAACCTTGTGGAATAACTACTTAGCTCTCAGAAACTGAATTCAAGATCATTTCTGTATTCATAAATTCACTATTCAGCAAGCTCCATTAAAAACTAACACATAGAATTTTCTAGTGCAGTCAATATTTCTAGCTTACTATAAAACAACCTTAAAGAAATAAAAATAATGAATGGACTGTTACAATATTAGGAACTACTGCTTTTAAACAATTCTTTGGAATATCCTTATAATCTTCTAAAATATTCATATAATTTTCTAAAATAATTCAAATAATCACTCAGAATGCATTCAAATAATCACTCAGAATGCAACTTTTAGTTGCAAAATCTATTTTTATATACATAATAGATACTTTTCTTTATATCTTTGGACTTTTGGCATTTTCCATTTGAGATTTTTCATCATCTAATTCCAGACCAAAGTTTGTGATACCATGTACTTTATTAGCACACGGTTTTGTTTGCACATGAAACAAAGAAGCAATAGGTGGACTCAAAAGATCTTGATCAAGATCAGCTGGATTTTGAACACCTGTGAAAAAGCTTATGATCACACCTATCAACATTGTTAGGATGCATCCTATTGCACTATACCATAAATAACTGATCTGAAATAAAAAAAATTAATTTTTAGAATTTTTTTTGATAAATAATTAATTATCTAATCTTTATTTTTTTAATAAAAATAAAGAACAGGAAAAATTGATAATTACTTTATATATGGAATAAGTTTCATTATGATTGTTACTTGACTGATGATTGAAATTTGTGATTAAACTATTATTAGAACACTTATCAATTGACACAGGTTTGCTGTCCAAGTAAATTTGTCCATTTAAAACAGCAATTTGAGCTCCCAGACCAATCCACAGGATGATTATCAAACTGATGATGGCACCAGTAATTGCGCCTTTGGCATTTGCCCATGGGATGAACATCCCCAAAGAGAATAATCCTAATGTGATGCCTCCAACCATACCATTGAATGATAATGCAACCTAATTTAAGATTTATTTTTATTCTCTATATTGTTCAGAGATATTAAAATTAAATACTCTCAAAATTATATCCACATTAAACAAAGTTAAATATGAATTTAATTAAAAAATTATATTGAAAATTTTGAAAAATAATTTTGAAAAAAAAAATTCATTGAAAAAATTTATACTTGAAGAACACTGCCAAGTTGTTCCACAACGAAAACCAAAGCAAAACTAAGCGCTCCAAAAAAAATACTGATCCATCTAGCATAAATTGCACCTTTCCTCGCAGACATATCAATTTTGAATAATCCTTGTAGGATATCTTCGCAAGTTATAGCTGCCAATGAGTTCAAAGCACTTGCTACAGTTCTGAAAAATATCCCAAAAATCTTTTTTCACTCTATAGACACATTAAAATATTTATTTAAGAATTTTTTTATATTAAAAATTCTCTAATTAAAAAAAAATATATTTTCTAATTAAATTTCAAAGAAGAAATTGAAGGAGTTATAAAACATACCCCAAAGAAGCGGCGAAGATTCCAGCAACGAAGAAACCAGGTATCCCCTTGAGATTACCCATGAAATTCATTACGTATAGTGGCAATAATTGATCTTGGCCAGTTATGTTACCAGCCAAGAGAGGATCACAGTATTTATAAGTGTCATAAAGTATCATACCAGTCAAGAAATTTATGGTATATATTATAATCATGCCAAAAGCGGATACCCATAAAGCTCTGTAATAAAATGAAAAGTTAAAATAATCTAGAAGTAAAACATATTTAACACATTTTTTTTTTGTTATTTTTTAGTAATCTTCTTGAAGACATTCAGAAACATACGTTCTGACTTGACTAATGCTTCTAACGCTAAGATATTTTTGGACGGAAGCTTGATTACTGCAAAACATCGTTGTCCAGTATATGGTTCCACCTATCACCACGCTCCAAAAACTATGACGAACGGTTGGATTAGGATCCATATTGAAGAACTCTATTCTTCCAGATTTTTCATTAATTTGCCATATTGAAGAAAGTCCTCCTGCCCAGGAGAGACCGTATCCAGCTATGAGAAAAAGGGAACCAAGAAGAACTACTGCCTGGAAAGTGTCCGTCATTATGACGGCTTTCATTCCACCCTGATATAGGAAAAAAGAAAAAAATACGAAGAAAATTAATTGAAGAGAATTGAAATTTCGATAGAATTGTTTAGAAAAAAAGAAAGGAAAAAGATAGAAAAATGAAAAGAAGAAATACCTTAAGATGAAAAAAGGCAAAATTAGAAGAAAACTTTGAAACGAAAACATGATAGCTTTAAAAAAAATAAAAATATTAAAGTTAAAAGAAATTAATAAATATCAAACATATTTTTTCAAATAAAATTAAAAAGAGGAATAGGTACCTGTGACGCGTAGAAGATACAGACTACATAGACTAGAGTGACGGCTATGTAAGTATTTAAACCTGTGACTGTAAAAAGAGAAGAATAAATCAAGAGAATATGAGGATTAATTGAATCATGTTGCTCACCATGGCTTAAAGCTAACGCTGGCGCATATACGGCTACAGATGTATACAAGATCATCTGTAACATATAGAGACCACCGGCAAGTAGCCTGCAATATCGATTGAAACGAAGATTCAAATATTCATAACTCGAAGTTAATCTTAGCTTCATGTAAACAGGCAGGTACAAATAGGAGGTAATAGGTACAACGAAAATAAAAGCCAGACAGGTCATCCAAAATTGAGTGCCCTGAGAAATTGAAAAATATTTTCAAATGTAATAGCAATTTTCTTAAAATCAAAGTTTTATGATTAAATTACTCAAAATATTTAGAGTAATTTAAGAAAAGAAAAAAGATTTTTAAATATATTGATTATATATATAGATTAGAAATATTGTGATAAAATAAAGAAGAAATAATATTGAAGAAAAGAGAAAATAGAAATGAGAAGAAAAATTAAAAAATAAAAATATATAAAGAGATAAAAGAAAAAGAATTCTAGAATTCTTTTTTAGAATTTCAATTGCCAAACTGATCACTATTTCTTCTTTTAGATTCTACTATTCTCTAAAGCAATATGTTATTTTAAAATATTTAAACAAATAAAAAAAAGAGGAACATACATGTATATACATTTCTGTAGGATTTCCTAGGAGTTCAATAGCTGTAATGAAACTAGCAGCGAGAGACATTGCCATTGGAAATGTTCCCATGCTCGAACCTCCGAGCAAGAAGTCCTGGCTGGTTTCCTGCTTCTTAGCAATGAAACCATAGAAAGTGCCGATCAGGCATGAAATTATTAACATGGCAGCCAACACCGTGTAATCAACCCATGAAAAGTAATAAAGAAGTGAATATTTTTCAGTGTGTATTTCATTTACATCTTCAGATGGTCGTTGTTCTGCTGAAGAAATGGCCAAGAAGAAGTATAGTACCAAGAAACGTGACTTCATCTTTCAGGGGCTTGAACAGAAGGACAAAAATTTTCATTTTCTTCTTTAAGAAGATTATTTTATATTTTATATAATATAATCTTTTTTTATATATGTTTTAATATCAATTTTAATATCAATGAAGATGAAAAAAAAACTCGTAAGTAAAATAATCGATAGAAAATGTCAATTGTACTTGGCATTCAATATCCTTGAGCTGCATTTATGGATATTCGATATAATATTTCCTATAAATCTAGGATCATATGAAAGACACGATTGATCGACACTTCCGCACGATCTAGATTAATCTGTTATGCGAATCTGTTTAGTATCATTTTTCTCATATTTCGTCTTTCAAATCAAATCAATGAAATTTATCGAAAAGTTGAAATTTTATTTTTAATTTTTTAAATATAATTTTTTATAAATCTTTATTAATATATTTTTTATTTCTTAATTTTTTTTGAAATATTATTTATAAGATATATATATCATATTTTCCCCTATTATTTAATTACATATCTTTTTCAGATCAATTTCTCAAAGAAGAAAATAATTTTCGAAAAAATTTATAAAATCTTTCCCTATCTTTTCCTCTTTTTAAAGATCCTGAAATATTTTGATACAATCATGCTTTTATTTATTTTTATTTTTCTTCGTTTTTTACGTTTCATCTTTCTTCCATTGAATCCTAACCTGAAAATCATAATAATTGTGCGTATCGATCAGATATGAATATATACACAAACCGAATGGGTGTAATATCGTTTAGTCAACTGATTCTTTCTCTTACGTAAGCAAAGTGTAATGCACTGTATGCTTGCTTTGGTTGGAATGATGTGATTATTGAACGTATATGCTCCACCAATGGATGTAATTGTTTAGTAGGATTTGCACCATCGTTGTGGCTATTAACACGGGCGTTCGATCATCATTAAGAAATCTGGTTGTCTCTGGCTAGAACCAGTTAATTCAAAGGCGAACAGGTCCAGTTTATACAAACAGTATAGGAAAAGAGTAACAGAATAAGGGAGATCTCTTACAATACTGTAATCTGATCCATACGATGCATATAAATTTATTCAACTGTATTTTAATTAATATGCATAAATAATATTACAAGATAAATTTTCCATATTTTTTTCTTCAGATATAATGAGAGAAAAAATGACATTAAGTTCAGGAAGATATGATTTCTAATCAAATAATTTGGTTAAAAAATAAAATTTAGAGGAAAAAATAAATGAATTAGAAATTAGGATAAACTATGTGGAATTATTGATATCATTTTCGATGAAATATAAAAATTTAAAGGTTTCTGAAGTTTTTTTATGAAAGAAGAAATATATTTCTAAAAGAAATTTTGAAATTTCTTTTTAATGAAGAGAAATACATAATTATCTTGAAAATAGAAGAAGAATTGTTTGTATATTTGTTATAGATTTTAACTAAATTTTTTTACTATCGATAATATTCAATCGTCATTAAATTATAATTAAATTCTCATTAAGAATTTAATTTCTTCAAATTTAAATGATTTATATATTTTTTATTTTCAAAAGAAATATTGATTTTACTTACAATACTAATAATTATTTCATATTTTTAATATATTCTTATTGTAAAATTAAAATTTTTAAATGATTTATACAAATAACTTATTTATCTTTCGATTTGAATTAATTCTTTTCAAAAAGAAATAATATTTGATACATTGAAAAAAAGAAAAAATCATTTAAGTATTAAAAAAAAATATTCTTTCAGAATTGAAAAGTGATATTGGTTAATATACAGATTCACAAATTCAACCAATGATGTCATTAGACAATTTTGATTTAAAATTATGCGATAGAGATAGCAATTGTCATCAGACTTTCAATGAGAGACAAAGCACAGATTACAATCTATTTGGAATCTGACAAAATATAAAGTTACCATTATAAAGTTACTATTTTTTACACAAGAAAAGACAAATAAATCAATAAAGTAATTATTCATTTTTTTTTCATGATCTTTGTCTTGTAGAGATTCTTCAAAAATTTCCAAATAAAAAGTTAATTTAAAATATTTTAAATATTAGATTCTGAAAATTATATTTAAAAACAATTTAAAAAAATTCAATCTTTTTCATTGAAAACATATTTTATTTTCTCCAAACTTTAAGATCAATAACTATTCCAAAATATTAAATTATTAAATTTTAATAATTTTAAATTTTAATTTTAAGAAAAATTGAATTTTTTCAATAAAAGCATATGTATCACAAAACTCTTCAAAACTTCAAGATCAACAACTTGTTTTACATAAGTTTTTTAAAAGATTTTAACTCAAATTTTTGAATGTTTTCAAAGAAATCTATTATTTCAATCTTATTAAAAACACCAAGTATTTAAAACCAAGATATTAAAAAAAAATCTAAAATTAATGTATCTTACCTTTTTAAAAATGTTAAATTACTTCCAATCTTGGTAAATCTTCTCTGTATTAAGAAACAAGAAGAAAAAGAAAAGAAGAAAATGTTGATGAAAAGAAATATGAAAATAGTCCCTTAAGATATTAATGGTGTTCAATAATTGATAAAAATGTACGAAATTGCAGCTGAATGATCTTGCTGCTAGTCTTCCTAACGTAACGCATATATGAATTTTTTTTTAACCAATCACTGATTCGAACTGCTTGACCGGGAATGTATTAAAGAAGTGCAGATCGATTAATTAATTAAGATCTCTCGATTTTACGCGCCTCGTTTTGAACAGAGCCGGCGAATTAAGCGGAGAACGATTTCAGACTGTCGTTTTAATTGTCACATGTGTCCATTTATATGAACCAGCCCCTTCCAGAGTAACGAGTTTCTTGCATTCCGCAAACTTATGGAAACGATGATGATAATTACGCTTTAATCCGAAGGATTAGATGTATTTAGGATGAAAAAATATTCTGCGAAGAAGAAATAAATTCATGAATTTATTTATTCATTTTAATTTTGAAAAATTAAGGAAGATTATTGATTAAATGGTTGAAATTGAATTTAATCAATCGATTTTAAATTATATCAAAAATTAAAGAAGTAAAGAAATCAATGTGTTGTTGCAGTGTTGAAAGAAAAAGTGAAGAAAAAATATCGTAATTTCTGCGAAGAAGTAAGGTGAAATGAAAAAAAAAAAAGAAAAACTGTTAATTTTAATAAAAGAGAAAACTTCAGAAGAAGAAATGGAAATATCCATTTAATGGTATTGAATTTCATAATATTTTTGAAATCTTTTCTTTAATTTTTGGAATTATATATAATATTTTATAAAAAAAAAAAATTACACAAATGCAAAGAGAAGAAATATTTCATCATCAATTTCAAATCATAAAAGATATTAATGCGAAGATATTAAAAAGAAAAGAAGTACAACTGAAGAATATTTTAATTTAAAAAGAAAAAAAAAAGCATATGTCAATTTAAAAATATTGAAAAAAAAAATTAAATTGAAGAATATTTGCAAAAAAAATTCAAAAAGAAATAAAGAAAATTTAAATTTAAATGAAAAATTCTATTATTCTTATTTTTATTTCGTTAATGAAATTATTTTTTTCATCAATTAAGGAATCTCTTTCAATTTTTTTTAACTTACGATTTCTATCTTTTTATTTTCCATAGCTTGTATATGGTAACTCAAGAATTCATTTCATAAAACACCATAATGGAAGATATAAACTAGCAGTCGTTGGATTGGATTCTGTGATAATGAAAACTGATAAACTTGATAAACTATGTATCACTTCTCGCTCTATAAGATGAAAATTGAAACATGTAAAATTGACGAATGAGAATATAATCATAATGAGAATATAATCATAAAAACTGTGTTTACAGTTATTATGATTGAAGCAGGATTCAAGCGGTTGCTATTTAAAATCTTGTATGTAAATAGATATTATTCTTCAAATTTCTAAATTTTTGATACTTCTTGATATATTTACATTATATTTATGATAAAAATATGAAGAAAAAAAGATAAATTTGAGAAAAATTAAAGAATCTAAAAAATTAAAAATTAAAAATAATTATAAAAGATTGGAAAAATTAATGAATAAAGTAGCATCTAAAATAAATATTGAGAAGAATTAAAATTAATAATTAATAATAATCATAAATTATATAAAATTATTAAAAAAAACTTCGAAAAAAATTTATAATAATGCATAATAAATTTTCTATAGTTTTTATTCTTCTATTAATTTATATTCTTTATAGTATTTTTTATATAAACTTTGTATATTTCAGTAACAAAGAAATCATGGGTTTTTTTCAATGAGTCTATCATTTTATCGTTTTATTCGGATTTATTAATTGTAAAAAGAGAAAAAAAATAAAAAGAAAGAAAAAAAAGAAGTATTTTATCTAATCGTAAATTTGTTATTAGATTTATTAATACCTGACTCGTGTCTTAATTATTGTTAAACGTCAGGATAATGGAGAACAATTAAATGAATAAATTTTCCTCGGTAATCTTTATCAATCAACTATAGAAAATAATCTTCTGATTTTAAATAAAATAAAATTTCTTAAATGGAATAAGATTGTGTGGAATAATGGAATAAGATTAAGTGGAATAAGATTCATGGAAGATTTTAGATATTTATTAATAATTGCGATTTTAAAGAAAATCAGCAAAATATTAAAAAAGCATTATTATTTCGAAAAAGGAATTATTTTTAATTACATTGTAAATTTGGATTTATGATTGTGAATTTATTTAAATGAATTTGTATAGATTTTCTGAAGTTGAATTAAAAGAAAATATAATATATATGTATAAGAAGTTATGAAGTACTGAATATGATTAAAATTTTTTTAGAATTTCTTTATTAAGATATGGACAATTGAACATTAAGAATTATAATGTAATGTTTATATCTGAAGGCAAGGGATGATTGGAATAATTTATAACACAACGCGATTCAATGAAATTTTCATCCTGATTATACTATTTCTATTAAGAATGTATGACTCACATCAGTTAAATAAGTTACGTTGTTCATTGATAAATGAACATAGAACTAAACACCTATCGGTAATTATAAATTCAAAATGTCATATATATATTATTTGATATATTTCTTCTTTAAAAAAAAATTTTTCAAAACAATTTCCTAAAATTCAAATTAATATCATTATNATATATATACACACATTGTTATTGAATTATATAAATTATATATTTATTGAAAAATATAAATATAAATAAAAATATTAGCAATGAATGTATCATTAGTTTACTTTTGAAATATCGAAAAAAAATGAAATATTATATATTGAAGAAATATATAGAATATAATGACATTTTTTATCATTTCAATATAATAATAAGTTCATAATAATTATAATATATATAATATAATAA